TTATCACTGAATTATACGAAATGGCGATGTTATAAGCAAAAACAGACCTCAAAACATTTGACGCTAGGTAGCTAAAAATGCTAACATGTTTACCTTGGCTCTGTAGTCTCTCCAAAGTGGTCTTCAATGGCATTAAAACGATAAAAACGCTGCTGAAGTTAATCCATAGGTTTATCCAATGTGTCTGTGTCCCTTTGAAATGATTTCTGATAATCCATAAGCATTAAAACTGCTTTTCCGTTTCCAGATGTCAAAGCTAGAGATCGGTTCACTCTGATGCAAAATTACATGCGCGAAGCCCCCACCTTTTCGTTTCACAATGAGTGTGTGTGGGGGACTCCACCTTCGATTCTATTGGCTCAAACGGTCAGAAAGAGGTGTCAACCATCAAAATCGAGCAAGGGGGGCCAGAGATATGGAAAATCCACCCAAATGACCCCAGAAGTGGTTTCTTTTTGCTAAATCTCTCTATAAAGGTCAAATGTCACTTGTTTTGCATCAATCTTAATACAGGGTACTTATTATATGTTGTACTTTGGATTCCTAAAGCTTTTAGTCTACCTTACCATCATCCAAGAGTAGTTTTCACTATAAGTACAAAATTATTTTTGGACGGACACTATAATTTACAGTTTTTTACTATGTGAAATCTGAATTTCTTTAAAATAAAAAACATCTATATTGATTCTGACTTTTCTACATCCATCTCACAGGTTTATCATTACTTTGAGAAAAAAGATTATTAATTTAACCCTTTTAGAAGGGAAGATATGGTCATTTGTTCTGGGAATGTCATTTTCGAGCCTGAGACCTGAAAAACAGGCTCAGGGCTTAACAGGTTAAGGACTAATTCCTGCAAATCTCTGTTGGACTATGACATTAAAATTAACTTGTGTGCTGCCTATTTCTATGTTTATAGAGTTGGGACATGTTTTTTGGCTCAGAGTGAGCGCTCCTTGGTTTTGTTGGTTTGCTCGGGGCGTGTCAGAATGAGCGCTCTCTACTTTGCGAGGATCTTTGTAAACGGATCAACACATGGAGCAGAGATGTCATGTAAACTGTGTTCGTGTCTGTGATGCTTGAGCCTAGGAGACTATTTGTCTGTGAGTTATTAATGTGCAATTTGGATGTGTTATGTGCAGAATGTTTGAAGTTTGTACCTTTTGGTCTGAAGCTAGTTTAATGTGTGCTAATTTAGCTAATGGTGATCTGTGCTATTTCTAGCTAATAGTGATGCTAATGATAGCTAATTCCTTTAATAGTAGTATGTGTGTCGTTTGTACAGTGCTACTTATATGTTATGTAAGGCCTGCATACTTATATGTGTTTTATTTCTGTATTGTTACAGTTTTACAAAGTAAAATAAATCTAGAGTAAAGTCAAGAAAGCAAACCTTGGATCTTTATTGGAGGACTTTTGAATGTTAGCTAACTGTATAGCTAAGCAAAAGGATACGCACTGTAAAGGCCCGGACACACCAATCTGACAACAAATAACTGACACAGACAGACCCCGACTGTTGCGTCGCCTCGCGTCTCTGCGTTTTGGCCATGTGTTGCACTGGAACACACCGCAAAGACTTCAGCCGACGGCCAAGAAGCACGTACAGATGTAGCACTTCATTTCAGACGCCTACCCGTGTGGGTCCGTGATCTGCACGGGGTCGGCCCCTGCTGAAAAGGAAAACCCCCCGCAGGACTTGATACGCCCCCTTGATAAATACATTTAATTATAATGAAACCTGCAATGGATCATGGATCCACCAGGGGGTGCAGTGATTAAAAAGCTGCCACAGTGGAACTCTTGTGAAATAAAAAATAAACAGCTGATAGATCAACAGTAGAGGTATCTGATATAGCGGATATTTGTTAAGATCCATATGTCACGGATAGGATCATATTCTGTGCTAAATAAGAGACATGTAATCATTAACAAAACATCACCATGTTTTTATTTAACAAAATAATGTTGTTTAATCCACGTTGGCGTAAGTACAAAACCATCGCTATGTTTTTTTGTCAGGAAATGCAGACCGGCTCATACAAACTATTTTTTAATCATCATCCTCACGATCATTTAATGTATGTTCGCCGAATTGACATGAATGCACTAATACATGTAGTTTAATCCACGTGAGTTTACAACTACAAAAATAATCGGTTTGTTTTTATATCACATCAGACCGGAGGAAAATGCTGCACGGCTCTCACTACCGATAATCCTAATTTAATCATCATCTTCACCACGATCAAATAATGTAGTAGATGAAGTACATTATTCAAAAGTTTACATTAACTTTGGATAATAACACGGGAGAAACGGATCCTCTCTTTTCCTCTCTCCCTCTCTCTCTCTCCTGACAGCCCGTCAGTTTCTCATGCAGCTCGCCAAACAGTGGGCGGAAATAATAATAATATTAATTATTTCACACAAAAAGGTTATGACAATATATGACTATTGACGTACAAATAACACTGTCTGTCAATTGTGTAAAATAAGAGGATTAGATTACTTAGGCCAATTTACGAACATGTTGTTGTGACTTAGGCAATTTGAAACCTGACTTACGCCTTATTACTTCTGGAGTAAGTGACTTAGGCAAAACAGTGCACTTCTCTTTCCCGCACTACTGTGACAGACCATGGGGCTGGGTCAGCCACTAACATATTCATATTTCTCTTCTCAAAAAGAGAAATATGAACGTTAGTTTTTAACTGAAATGATCAAATAAAGTCAACATTTCACAGTGTTTACAAACATTGACCATACCGTTCACCAGCCCCCACCCCCCTATGTTGCCTACTGTATCTTGATTTTTGACTTTGTTTAGAGCAGTGATCTTCTCTTCCTCTCTGCAGCAGAGAGCTAAGCGCTGTCAGACCGGACCTAACCCTAACCCTGAAAAGTATTATCATCTGAAATTAATCATTATGTTATTAGTATTAAATACATATAAGTATTTTTACAACTTGTATTTAGAAATACTCTGTTGTAATTATTGATGCATAAATGTGTTCATCCATTCAATGTGGCATCTGCTATAATGGGGTTGATGTATGATATTACTTAATAATACAATACATTATAATATATGATATGATAATTACATTTTAATTTTATTCATTTCTTATTTCATAGTTTCTCATTATTATTATTTTTATTTGTATCGCTGATCTTATTTTTGTGTGAATCTGTGCTGTCCTGTTTTTCACTCTCACCCTGTTGTTGTTTGAACTACTGAATTTCCCCACGGGGATTAATAAAGGTCCATCTTATCTTATCTTATCTTAATGTATAAGTTGATTTACTTCGATCTACTGTACTGTGTAAAAACACCACAACAATATTACAAAAAATATACTGCATAAAGCAAACTATTGTAAAGGTAAAAGTATGAGCATAAAAAATAAAGTGTAAACATTTACATTATTATGATTATTTAATATATAAAGACTATATATTATTGAATTACAATTAAGATAATAAGATTAGATATACTTTATTTGATCTAAAATATTGATGTTTTTTCGTTATAGCAGCCTGTGAAAACCATAACAAATAAGTGATTAAATGCTACAGTATTCAGAAAACACAACTGCAGAGCTGCAACATTGGAAACAGACTAAGTTCTACAACACCAAGTTGTCTGTGTGTATTTGTGAATGAAGCGCCATCTCATGGTTAAATCCTGTAATTGAACAAATGGGGAAATTTGGCAACGCCCTCTAGCAATTTGGCAACGCCCCCAGCCACTGGGATCTGCTGGGTTTTTGGTTGGGACACACCCATTGGAGTCCTATCTGGAGTGCTACATCTGTACTAACTGTGCATGCGTGAGTGGCAATAACTCTCCTTACCAGCAGGCGGCGGTAGTGTGTATTCGTCATTCAAAAGAGGCAACAACCGGAAGACAGACTGCGTGATAACCGAGAGAAGAAGAACAGACTGCGTGATATAAACAAACAACAAATAGCGTGTGCGTTCCATTTTCACTCTACAACGAAAAGCTCATGGGGCTTTCCCGAACCTGTGTCGAGAGCTGGAGTTAAATTAAATCTCAGATTTGCCTTCTTAATAGTTTGTTTGGGTCCCTCACTTCCGTTTCGCTTCTCATGCACTGATTCGCTAGCTGAACAGCCACTCAGAGTGATTTCTTTTTGCCGACTGCCTTTGGCCGACTGCTGGTTTTCGGCCGAAAAGGCGTCGGCCCGGCTGAAAAGACCCGACGGTGCGGGACACACCAATCTGAGTAGGGCGTGTCGACGCTCATCGTCGGCCTGACGCCCACCGACGCCGATAATCGGCCTGGTGTGTCAGTGCCTTTAGGGCAGAATAACTTGACTTAGATATTTGTGTCCGGAATGCTGTACATCACAGACTACACACATTTGTTTAGTCATGTGTGACCCACACAAAGTGTGTAATCACAATTATATGTTTATATTTAATATGATTTTATATGACCTGTTTAACAATGGACAGCAGGGGGCAGTAGATGGCAGGGTAACACTGCCGTAAAGGGGTTTGTTGTGATTTGCGCCTGCCGTAAACGGACTGATGTGGAGACGGAGCTGCCGTTGGCTCGCCAAACGAGCAGCTAAGAATTTGGTTGTTCATCATTTCTCCTGTTTTGCAGGTCAGTTTTGTGTACATATTGTCACAAGTGATATAAATATCCACGGTAGTGTTGTGTCACAATGTCCTAATGTTTGAAGTGGTGTTTGGACGTTGTTTATTGTCTTCAATGCTGCGTAGGAGACTGCCTCGTGGTTGCTGTGTGCGCGTGTGTAATGGCGGTCGCTATTTTATTGTAGCATAACTGAGCTCTTTGATCAAAGTGAATGCAAGTAAATGTAATTGTTTACAGCTCCTGTACATTTTGTACTTACATATTTTCTGGGTTTATATCCTATTTGTTCCTGTTTTGCAGGAAATATTATCTGTCATCGCGCCCTGCATAGCGGGGCCTGTTACACATGCATGAACGCATTTGTGCTCACCTCTCTGCAGAGCTGTCGGGCTCTATGAATCGGATGAGTGGGGGTGCAGAAAGCGTTTCGGTGGCAAATATTCCTCCCTGCAGCTGGACACCGAAGCCGTTGAGTGGGTCGCCTGTTAGGACAACCTCACTGGTCTCCACATGAACCACCTGACCACCGGGACCCACTGAACTGGACGCCAGGGACACTGAACACACACAACAGTGATATTTTATATTCATTTCCCTTCAGAAAATGATATTATTGTAAAGACAGAGACAAAAGGACTCACAGGAGCTTTTGTGCTCTTTCTTTCTCTGCCGTCGTTTAAGCAGCGAGTTACGTGGACTCATGGGAACTGTAGGCCTTGGCAGGGTGCTGGAGCTCTGGCTACTGGGGCCCGATGTTGTCGTAGAGCCGGGAGAGAAACTGGCTGATACTAGAGCTGAAAAAAAAAGGAAAAAAAAAAGGCTATAACCTCTCTGAAATAGAAATGTGTTGAGGCAACTTCAAGGGTTTCAGCCCATTATCATGTAAAGCAGTTACTTCAGTATTCTTCCATATAACATCTTGGCTTAGCAAGCAAGGTTGCTAAATCTAAATATTTGGCATAATATAAGTAGGTTTCTTTAGATAAGTAACAACTTTAGCTAGAAGTAGCTAAAGTTAAATAAAACCAGTACCAAATATACTATATAATATATATATTTGAGAAACAGGGATGTTGGCTTATTAACTTTGCCTGCGTTCTTACACTTGCAGTAGTCGAGGCTGTTGATGGTGTTATTATTCGAGGCGGTCCACGACTTGTTGAGGGTAGCACTTGTGTTGCAGAGACTGGAGTTTAAAGTATGACCGAAGTTCACACAGGGGTCCCAGGAGTGGGGGTGGTCCGACTTCTGAACCTTCACTGGATCACACAAAAATGATTTGGTTACTTGTGAGGACAATAATTCCCTGGACACCAACCTTGAACCTTGGTGTTAAAACTTTGAAGGTGCCCAGTTTTCTATTTTGTTGACAAAAAACATATGTTTTACATCAGGAGTTTCTCACCAAATCATAGGCTATTGTAAATCCTGTGAATAATAATAATAATGCTGAATGAATACCCATTCCTGTATTGTTTAGCTAACATCATTGTTGCAAGTGTAGTCTTGCCCAATTGGTTTTTGTGCCTTACTGCCATTACCTGCCGATCAGTAGGACAGCTTAACACTACTGTAAACTGTGTCAATCATAACATGTTAGTTACAAACATGTTTGGTGTGTCACTTTAGGCATGAAAGCTGAGCTTTCTTTAAATAATATAATGTGATCACAACTTTGGCTTCTACTTCCATGCAAAAGCATATAAACCAATGCCTGGGACAGCAGTAACAAGCTAATTACAGATGTAGCACTCCAGATAGGACTCCACCCAGCGGATTCCAACCAAAAACCCAGCGGATCCCATTGGCTGGGAGATTAAAGCCCTCCCACTATTTCCTAAGAGGGCGTTGCCAAATTTCCCCATTTGTTCAATTTCAGGATTTAACCATGAGATGGCGCTTCATTCACAAATACACAAAGACAACTGGGTGTTGTAGACCTTAGTTTGTTTGCAATGTTTGCAGCTCTGCAGTTGTGTTTGCTGAATACAGTAGCATTTAATCACTTATTTGTTATGGTTTTCACAGGCTGCTATAACGAAAAAACATCAATATTTTAGATCAAATAAAGTATATCTAATCTTATTATCTTAATTGTAATTCAATAATATATAGTCTTTATATATTAAATAATCATAATAATAATGTAAATGTTTACACTTCTTTATTTTTTATGCTCATACTTTTACCTTTACAATAGTTTGCTTTAATATGCAGTATCTTTTTTGTAATATTGTTGTGGTGTACACAGTACAGTAGATCGAAGTAAATCAACTCATACATTATCACGTATTATACAGTAATGTGTTGTATTATTAAGTAATATCATACATTAACCCCATTATAGCAGATGCCACATTGAATGGATTAACACATTTATGCATCAATAATTACAACGGAGTATTTCTAAATATAAGTTGTACACATACTTATATGTATTTAATACTAATAACATAATGATTCATTTAACTTTCAGATGATAATACTTTTCACTTGGGCAATTGAAAATGTTGAATGCAGGACATTTACTTCTAACACGTATTTTTACCTAGGTAAATAATCGGAATACTTCTTCCACCTCTGATTTGAACCTGTCACTGTTTTTAAAACTTTAATTAAATGTTTGATATTTCCAGAGAGCCTTTCAGACCGGCAATGCTGCCCTGCACGTAATTCCGATTGTCCATCGGAATGTGACAAAAGTCAAAAGTCTCCCATCCCCCATGGGAGACTTTAGTCACATTCCGATGGGCAATTATTTGAAACAAAGAGAGTCCGCAACATAGGCTACTATCTCTTGTTAACAGAGGGGGGATGGTACAGCTTTGTCACACCGATGATGGCCGACAGACCCTTTCAGGGTTAATGAATAGTGGATAGGAGAATTCAAAAGGATTTAGGAGAAGAGACTGCAGTGCTTTGAGAATCCGACTGCACTTACACTATCAACGTATTTATGATGCACCAGCGGACGTCATGAATGTGCATCTGCTGCTGTGGGGAAACTACAGTTTTCTATACAGCGGACTACATTGATGTATAATAAGAACAACAACTACTGTAAACCCAGCGCCGTATTCTATCTAGATACTTTGCACCGCGCTCCCACTTGTTGTACCTGGCAGAGCAAGAAACACTCCAGCCTTTTATTTAAACTTGTTTAAAACATATCTAAATAAATATGTGTGTCCCGGGCCATAAATGCAATTATGCTGTCAGTTTTCAGATAAAGCCACGGCATCACAATTCTTCTGTATTCTACAATATAGTTATTTTCACCTCCCGTATTGCTTTCAACCCACCAGCTTTTATGGAGAAAATAAGTTATATAATAATTAACCAGAGGCATGTTTCTCACTATTTTATGCATAGAAACAACAGGCTACTGTGTGTGTGAGGAATCAGCTGTTTATTTCATATGAGTTTCATTGTGGCAGCGTCCATCACGGCTCTCCCTGGTTGCAATACACAAAGGCAGCTAACTGTAAGCGTGTCACTCAGAGGGGGGTGGGGGCTGGTGAACGGTATGGTCAATGTTTGTTTGTTTAAAAATGTTTGCAGTCGCAAAAGGTCTAAGCCAATCAGACATGGACAAAAAAAAGGATCAGTCTATGTGTCGAGGGGGAACTAGACACCCCTAGTCCTTTACAGTCATGGTCCGGTCTGACAGCGATCAGCTGTCTGCGGGAGAGAGGAAGAGACAGATCACTGCATAAATATGCAAACCTACAGTTGACTTTACTGCTGGAGAAGAGAGATCAGGGGGGTGGGGGGGAGAGCTGTGGCTGATGGGCCATTAGGTGTGTAAACAAAGAGTCACACACAGTTGATCACCTGAGAGCTGCTGTTTCATTCAGACTATTTAAAAAAAAAAAACGGTCTGATTTTAACATTGTACAACAATGAACTCAATGTGTGATGGTTATAGCAGTAATATTAAATACTAATAATACAGTAAACTATTAACAATAGTATAATATTATAGCCCGTTTGCCCATGGTGAGATGACGAGGCTCCATTAAAAATTAACCTCTTTTTAGTGAATTACTGAGTTTGGGCAAGTTAATAACGTTTTAATGAAGTTGACTACAGTATATTCATATTTGTCAGTGCTTTCATGTCAATTCGGCGAACATAAACATAAATGATCGTGAAGATGATGATTCAATTATGATTAAAAATCGGTAGTGAGAGCCGTGCTGCATTTCCTCCCGTCGGATGTGATATATATGACAAACCGATTATTTTTGTAGTTGTAAACTCACGTGGATTAAACCACATTTATTAGTGCTTTCATGTAAATTCGGCGAACATATATGATACATTAAATGATCGTGAGGATGATGATTAAAAATCGTTTGTCTGAACCGGGCTGCATTTCCTGATGAAAAAACTAACCGATGGTTTTGTAGTACGCCAACGTGGATTAAACAACATTATTTTGTTAAATAAAAACATGGTGATGTTTTGTAAATGATTACATGTCTCTTATTTAGCACAGAATATGATCCTATCCGTGACATATGGATCTTAACAAAGATCCGCTGGATCAGATACCTGTAGATCTATCAGCTGTTTATTTCACATGAGTTCAATGTGGCAGCTTTTTATTCACTGCTCCCCCTGGTGGATCCATGATCCATTGCAGCTGGTTTCATTATCATTTTATTTATTTATCAAGGGGGCGTATCAAGTCATGCGGAGGGTTTTCCTTTCAACGAGGGCCCACCCCGTGCCGATCACGGGCCCACATCGGTAGGGGCGTCCGAAATGAGGTGCTACATCTGTATGCTAAGCGTCAGCTAAGGAGGCAAATGGTACTGTGACTGATTTGAGATAGATAAGGTTATGTTCCTTCTCTTTAAGTAAAACACACCTTGATTAATTTCCATGGTGGTGCTGTAAGGCCTAAGAGCTTTTCAAGAATGTTGACACTTGGAATGTTTTTGATAAGAAGTAATTGATATGCTAATTTACATTAGCCTAGGACAGAGGTAGGATCATACTATGTATGGTGTGACAGGCTGTGTTCATAGTTATTTATTTACCCCAAATGTTCTAAGAAAAATAAAGACACCTGTAACACATACTCTCACAGACGCCAGTTCAGTGAAGAGAGCAAGTAAGTATATTCAACGCCTGCCAGTATTTCCCAAAAAATACCAACTGGAAGTCTGTTGTTAATTAGCATATGGAATCGTCTACTTCTGTGGTACGATAATTAGATTAACAACACAGTGTCTACAAAATGCAAGCTGATAAAGAAATTAAATCAAACAGAAATGCTGGTACCATCTGCTGAAGTCCCTTTTCCTCAGATCTCTGGGAGAGTATATTCTTGGGAAACTCCCACTGTGAGCATTTGCATACAATTAAAGCTAAACTCTGGCAACCTACACAACTTCATGTGTAATTCCTCACATCACACATATCTCCGCTCTGAAGTAGATCCTAAGCTGCCCTGTGCTGTCACAGAGCCTTTGTTTCCTCCATGTGACAGTCATCTTATCTAAAGCAATCGTTTGGCAGGAGGTCTGAGGAGCAGAAGCCTTGGGTTGTTTCTGGGTGAGATCTGAGAAATGTTAAAACATTCTCCTCACAGGGAAGAAATAATGTCTTTAAGTGCAGCCAAACACACTGTAGAGACATATCTGCTCACAGGAAATGGCTGCACATACACACAGTCCTGGAATATAGTGATGTACAATATTGAGGTAATCTTGCCTTAGCTGAGTATTTCATTTCATGCTACTTTATACTTTTGGTTCACTTTATTTTAGAAGCCAGTATTTTAATTTTGACTCCACTACCTTTATTTCAAATGTCTAGTTATTTCCAAAATACATATAAATAAACTGATAAATAAACATTGGCATATCATTATAGGTTAAACTATCCAAACTGTCAAACTTTAACTTACTTTTGCTAACTTTCTAATGTTAGGTAACTTGTAAATGTGCCCAGTGACTGTTCTAATTAACCTGTTAAGCCCCAAGCCTGTTTTTCAGGTCTCAGGCTCGAAAATGACATTCCCAGAACAAATGACAATAACTTCCCTTCTAAAAGGGGTATATTAATAATCTTTTTTCTCAAAGCAATGATAAACCTGTGAGTTGGATGTAGAAAAGTCAGAATCAATATAGATTTTTTTTATTTTAAAGTCAATTCAGATTGAACATACACGTTACCATTGAGAAATGAGAGCTATGCACACGCAGTTTGCCCAAAGCGAAACCTATCTTACGCTCTGAAATCTGAA